ATTTATCAATTTGACTTTTTTAAAGATGGGTGTCCGGATAAGCAGCGTGGTGATATTAAGAAGGGTTCTACCATGGCTGTCAGAATATGTATCTACATGTGTTAACAACCCTGATTCCTTGTTGTCTACTCACCATCTTTATGCAAGCAGTGCCGAAGGCGAACTTTTAAATTCACTTTCGTACTGTGAACACGGCCCAAGCCTGGATGGAGTTCCCCATGGTAGTGAAGGTATGCAACAATTGAAGCATCACTAAATGCACAGATGATCGTGGGAAAAATTATTCCTCTTTATGCCTGGCCTCGTCTAAAGAACAGGACTCTGTAGTGTCGTTTGCATTAAGTTATGATTACACACACACAAAAATTGGAAAGTGACGACAGTTTTAAATTTAGACATGTTTCGGATGAACAACAATCATCGTCAGTACATGCAGAACCCGCTAGCGGGTGTGTTATAAATGTTTGTCTAATGAAAACCTGTTCTGAAATTTTTTTCTTACCCGCTGGCAGCGCGACGATGGCCCAGATGTGACTGCATTTTCATTGGTTTATTCATTCTGTAACCTTTTACTGTTGTTAATGGTGAAACAGGTAGATGGGGTAGTTCTCCTCTCAGAGCATGCGCGCCTGATGATCCATCGCTTCATAATGGCGTTGAACACCTCTGTCGACTGGAAACAGCTCAAGTTAGGCTTGCCACTTACAGGGTAAAGTTGCTACGCGTGCTTCCTCTTAGCCTAAGAGAACAGCCGACATTTGGCGACGCTACGCACTGGTTTCCTCGCCAAATGACGTCTGAGAAACGAGCGCAGAAATTCCATACTGATGACTCGTCACTACCCAGATCTGGGTAGTGCTTCTCATTGGTTGAAATACATTTCCCACGCGGCACGACCAATCAGAAGCACTACCCAGATCTGGGTAGTGACGCGTCATCAGTATGGAATTTTTGTGCTCGTTTCTCAGACGTCATTTGGCGGGGAAACTGGTGGTAGCGTTGCCAAATGTCGGCTGTTTTCTCAGGCTAACTTCCTCTGACCGTCGTTTTCTTTTTACAGGGATTAGTTGGTTAAATATACATTTAGGTGGTATCCGGGAATAACACGTCACACCTTCATACAGAATAGGACAAACTCGAAACGCACTAGCATGGAATAGAGGTGTCTCTCTTCGCTTCTCGCCGCTAGAACGTTTCGCAGGACAGACGTTTACGCTTCATCGACGGAAATTCCATACTGATGACGTAAATCAAAGTTTACATAACTGCCAACGAGCAGCCTAATAGAGCCGTGCGCAATTGTTCCAGGGGCAGAAAAAATCTCGAATCGATGTAACATATAGTAATGTAAGGTAACGTTTATGACGTAATGCATAACAAAGAATGCATTGTTTTCGAGCGAACACGTGATACAGATCAGAGCATCCTCGAGCCCTGTGCGTGTTTGTGAGTCCCGTGCTCATCCAGTCTTCATCTTCATCTTCATCTATTTTTCATAAATAACTGTAATTCATGACATTTATAAACAAATTGGTAAAATCTTTGCTCGCTGACACTTGAAAAATGTGTTTGAGTTTCTTTTTTTCTGGGTCTACTATGGTAAAGTACTGAGTTCTCTTCGAACAAGCTGCAGCAAAACTAAAATGCTTCTTCTAAACAAAAATATATTTTACGAATAATGAATTGTATTAGTTCCTCTACAGTTTGAGACCGTTTTTTGTGTGTCGATAAATTCTACAATCGTTTGGTAAGAGCTAAAATTGCTTAAATAGTGTGAGCAAGGACGTTTAACAAATAACAAGAATGTGAAAAGAAAAAGAGGGGCCAGAGTTAGGATAAATCATTTTGAAATATTCAAAAACGACATCTGGCTAAAATTCAAGAAAACACGAGCTTTCGAGCGCCTAGTCCGCAGTTTACATTTCGCCTGTTGAACAGAATCCAGATAAGGCGGTCGAATGCTCGTGTTTTAAACTTTTTTAGCCAGATTTGATATTTTAAGACAAATTTACACTGAACAGGGTCTTACAAATGTTTCACATGTTTCCTAGCTGTTTTTGTTGTTATTTATTTCAAGATTCCCTACGTCATTAAGATGCATAGTAAAATTTTAAACGCCTGTTTGTTTCAGATAAACAACTTCTTCAAACAGATTTTGCGACAGTTGCTTGATCTCAATCTTCCAAGATACACCATCAAGAAACGTCTGAGGCCGGCCATGGACTTCCTATCGCGCGAACTACGCAGATTTCATGGTGTCTTATATTTCGACTGTTTCAACAAACTTCTAGCTGATTTTTGGTCGGAAGTAGTCGAGGTAAGTACGCTAAGTAGTCTCAATTTCCGCCTTTCCGACTCAAGTCTCTCCAAGTCTTCGGTCGTCCCGAGGGTTCGTTGCTCCAAAAGTACAGGGAGGCTAGAAATAAGCTGTTGGCGCCTTTTTTTTGGTGGACAAGCTTTAGTTGTGAATGGTTGATGGTATCCAAAGGCAACCATTTGCCAATCATTGCTTGCATTGTCAACCCAATGGATCCGAGAAAACTTAGCACCTTGTCGCGGGAAGTCACGGGTCAGATGAGAGTGAGAAAAGCATAGCTTCAGCAGGCCCGAAGGGACTCCAACCCAGGCAAAGTGTTCCAGTCAGCATACCAGTGAGTGACAGTGGAGCCCCTAGACACAAATCGGTCACTAGACTGCTTGATACTCCTTGTGGCTCAGTTGGTTCTACTGTGTCCGACCAAAGCAACTATGTTACTGCTGGGTCTGTCCTTTCTGGGAATAGTATAGACACTTTTTGTTCTGCACGTTCGAGCCTTACCTCCAAAATTAAAGGCAACAGTGGTGATCACTCAGATAATAGGCATTGTGCAGGAGAAGATGGATGTGATGGTCACTCCAGCAAAACTGAATCAGTTAACGAAGAATCGACTAAGGTTTTGCCAGTTTCCAGTTCGTTTGTGGATGTCATCTGTGCTGTGAACCGTCTGACAACGTTTGTTTGCCACCTGTGTAAGATCCTTTGTCCGCATGAGCATTCTCAGAGAGACGAAGAGGAAACCACTGTAGCTGAAGAGCAAAGGAATGAGACATTGGAGGTCAAAAGGACACTTTGCTCCAAGCTTATTGAGGTACTCCGAATTTTTTGGTGTCTTCTGGGAGTAACAATTATGAGTGTTTTTGTGTGCAGTTTTGTACGTCCACTCATCATTTTCCTTTAGCAGTGCCGCAAACGAGAAAAGTTGATGTGTTGGTGCATCCTGCACTATATAACACTGTGCTGCTTAAGAGAATAAAACCACTGTACGTGCACAGAGAACAAATCCTATAGCGATAAACTGAAGTGTATCACAAGTGTTGCTTCGCAATTTCGCTCTGGGACCATTATCATTCCGCGGATGAAGTATCATTTCGCTTCGTGAAAAGGCCTATCCACCAAAAATTAGCATTTGGGCTGGGGTAGGGAGGGGCTCTATCAGAATCTGTCATATTTGATAAGATAATAACGAATCAATGAGAATCGCTTCCTTCGGTGTTTTCTTTGACAGCCATTTTAAGGTACACGGCCAGTGCATGTGGTACGAGGTCAGGGATTTCCCAACTCTCGGAACCCGCTCTGCCTTATTCTACTATGTAAGCGATTCCCAGCTCGTTTAAACTTTTTTTCGACGTGGCTGCCTTACAAGAAACAGCGAAGTAAGTGATATTAATTCATCCATTTTTCTCTAACCGTTAGGGATCCCTGCGGTTTCTTACGTTACTTCACTTTATTTTGTCTGTTACAGGTGATACTCTCGTTCATTACGTTGTACTCAGACAATGTTCTAGCTATGGAGACTTGTGGTTTGCCAGAAGAACTTCTTGCGGAGATCTTGGATGAACACGTTCAGAGAGGTCTTAGACTCTTACGTGTCGAGTGAAATACATCGAAACAGTCCTCACTTTTCAAAATTATTTCTTGCGTGCTGGCATTTCGGAAAATTATTTAAAACCAATTCTATTTTCTGCACTTACTTACCGCAAGTGTTATCGAAGTCAG